TACGAACTGCATTCAAATCAAGGCCGTAACTTTGAATCAGCTGTGTTCAATGAATGCTGCAAGTTGTTTGGCATACGAAAGACCAGAAGAACGCTACTTCACCCACAGTCTGATGGGATGGTAGAAAAGTACAATTGGGACAGGAATACGCAAAGTTTTGTAATAGCTGCCAAGATTACTGGGATGTCTTACTCCCTCCACTGTTGATGGCATATAGAACAGCAGAGCATGAAGCCACTGTTTATTCTTTCTAAATACAACTTTGCAATACACTTAATTTCCACAGTCACGCTATAACTCACAATGAACGACTCACAACAATACGTCTCTGCAGTTCAATTACACATTGTTGCCGTCACATTCTTATATACATGAGAATACCGCATATCTAGTAAGCGCTCGAGACTTCACGAACCTTCGAGAATATGACGTGTTACTACCGTCACGTGACCCCCGCTGTCGTAGCACTATTCTTACTAGCAAGGTAATCAGTGAAGGTAAAAATATTATAAATTCACTTTTTTCTTTTTTTTACGAGAACACAGCTTAACTACATGTAAAATACACCCACGAAAATGTATAAAAATCTACCTGAGAATATCTAATAACGATATACCCCTATTATATTGTTATGTCTCCGTTTGTTAATTGATTTTTCCGTAACTTGTTCCGACGAAACTTTAGCGACACAAGTCCTTACTTAAAAAAACTGGTTTATTCTTTCTGAATATAACTTTACCGATACACTTATTTTCAACAGTCGCTCTATACCAAACGTTATAAGAATACTCTCTGACTGCAGTTCAATTACTCACTACCTACACACATTATTGCGTCACGTTGTGACCATCTTATATATACCAGACTACCCTATATCTAGTAATCTCTCGAAGGTTCGAGAGAAGGAGTGGCGTGATAATAGTCACGTGATCTCGTTGACGCAACAATATTTTGTTACGGTAGGGTGAAATATAGCAGTATGTTTTATTTCGTAACTGCAATAACCATAACACCAACAGACAATCTTCCGAAATGTAGGGTAAAAACTAATTAAGTGACGATAAAAAAATCAAATATAAATGATTATACAGGATACCCAGTCGCCACAGTCTTATCCTCAGAGCATATCTAAATTTATCTTATTACACTACTCAACTTTGTTTTATACATGATTACTTCAACAGCTCTACAATTATTTATATCATTTTGATTTTTCAAACTATTCTGTTTTCGTGCTGTTTGCAACGACGTTTATTTCGCGTTATGTAAAACGGAGTAGTTCAGAAGTGAAGTCTGAGATAGGAGTTGTCTGAAACATCGTTTTTGTCAATCATACGCAGATTTGGGCGAAGTGCGACTTTGAATCAAGATATTCATACGTACAAAATAGTGTAAATCAGTGTTTTTAAATATAATGAAATATGATGATGATGACGATGTTATATCTCGTAAATGCTATACTCAAAACTTAAATTACAATTAACTGATTTTATTTGGTTGAAGGAGTACTTTCAGAATATTTTTTTATCAACTCCGTAGTTTCTGGTCTCTTTATACTTCCCTTCTTTTGTTCTTCAGTCTTACTTCAGCAGTTGTTAGGCTTGGGAAAATGGCGGTAGTTAATGCTAGTTGTAATCGTGTGAGTGTCACAAATGGTAGTGAACCTGTGAAATCAAAAAAACAAGATTATGGTAGAGTTATACTGACCTTACAGAATTGTATTATTCCACCATGTAAACTCTATCCTACTCCATCCATGATAGATGGGGTTGATCGTGAGACTGAAAAAGATTTGCGAATACTAGGATGTGATCTGATTCAGACATCAGGGTATTTGTTAAGATTGCCTCAGGTGAGTTAGGCCTAACTTTTAGTTTTAATTTCAAAGTTTTATCAATCAATTGCCGTACAGTTGGTAACAATAAAATAGCTTTTATTTTATTTCTAAAAATTTTGGCGTGGTACGAGTCATCTTTAGTTTTCTAACGCTTGCAGGGTGGTTCAAGTTTTGGAACATGTTATTTTCATATGTATTACTAATACTATTAGTATTATTATTACTAGATTTAGATGCAGTCAATTTAACATTTTTTGATTGATGATGTTAAGGGAGTTTTAACTTTTAAAGTTAAACTGTTAAAGAGAAAGCTTGATAAATATTTAAGTTAACTTAAAATTAAATAATAAAAGCTGGCGTTGACTTTGAGTGTTTTATTTTGAGAGTTTAGTATTGTGGATGGGACAGCTTAGAATTAGATAAACCAATAGGTCCTATGCTAAATTATATATTTATGTGTATATATAATTATATTTAAATATTAAACTTGTGTCTACTCCATGGTTTCTAATCCTGCATATTTGGACTGCTTTTTGTTTACAGCCTCTTCAGTTTACTGGTTTTTGTGTTGCTACAGGTTTTTATTGTTAACAGAAATTGTTTATTAACATTGGTGGATTAAGGAGTGGCTTGTTTTGAGAGTCAATAGAGCTTATTTTTGCTGAGAAATCAGGCAACTTTGATACACTTCAGAATACAATATAAAGAAAGTAAAAGCTTTTATCTATAAATTCCTCAAATAATCTGGCAGTAATCTTCAGTAATATCACATTATAACTTTCTTTTCTTAGAAGAAAATAAGGTACATTAATCTATCCTATATCCCTATATTTATTACTAGCTCTTCTCTGAACACCTACCGGTAACTCAGTATTTTTTCTTAGATAAGGAGACCAAATTTACACACACTATTTCATGTCAAACCTTACCAGTAATTCATATACTGTATAGGTACTTTTATTTTGACTTATAATCAACATTGTTTATAAATCCTAAAATTCTCTTTGCTTTGCTTTAGCAACAGAGCATTGCCTTTTTGGCTTGAATGATTTATCCACCAGTATAACAAGATCCTTCTTTTCAGTCATGCTGTTGAGTGGGTTCCCATTTATATTAAATATGTGATTCAACTTATGATAGTCAAATTGCATATGTTATAATCCACATAGTATGTAACAATATATTCACTAGCTGCATTACAAACAAAATGTTTACTGTTACATTGATAATTTGGGGAAATTACACTTAGGCACTAAATCTGTATACTTGGTTGCCTGCTATAAAATAAAAAATATGAAGTTTAATATGCCAATAAAACTTTTTTTAATTTTGAAGCTATAAACTCTATTTTCAAACTTAGATATTCCAAATATCCTATGTTATAATGTTTACTACTCTGATATGATTGAATTTATTCAAAATTGCAAGGCTTTTTGGACAAAAATCCTAGTCGAAAGTGTCAATTTCAGTACCAATTATTCCAATTGCTGTATCTCCCATTTGACAAATCATAGGATGATAAGGAAAGCACGTGATGAAACGTTGTTCTCTGGATTTTACAATATGAATGTGGGTGGTGCTTATTATAGTAACTGCTATTTTATGTAGAGGTAGGGCTTTTCTATAATCATTAGAAAAGTTGCTTCTGGTAAAAACTGCATGAAATCTACGTGACTTTTATTTTTTTTATATAGTAGCTTAAGTCATGCTGCATGGTATATCTGTTTATATTAACTCTAAAATAGATATATTTTTTAGGAAAGAAGTTGATCCACGATTGTTAGG